AAAGTCGTTTGTTATTGTGTCAGCAGTGGCGGCGGAGCAGCAGCAACGGGCATATTTGCGCACAATTCCTAAGGGAACCCTTTTGGCCTTTTCTTTTGCGATGTCTTCAACGCATGTAATCTGGCGTTAAGAACATTCAATAAAACGCCCACATCTCAAACAATCAAAGTCGCTAAAATGGACGAGACGCTGCGTGTAAAGTTAACACATTTTTTTTTTTTAAGATCAACTCAACGATATTCGCTTTAATCTTGTGAGATCTGTTAAGCACATTATAGACGGTCATTGACAGCTTGTAGAACACTTAGAGAAATTTTCTACAAAAATACTGAACAAGAAAAAATGTGCATTCAAGCCTCAATGCTTCTTGACGGGAATTTTTATACGATGAATCTGGAACCTTTGCGTCTTCCATACCGAGATTTGTGCTATAGAGAAGACAGATAGTTGTCCACTAAATAGCATGGTTCCAGGGAAAAAAGTCACTATCTCCGTCGATAGTAAAGCGGTTTTAAATCACTGGGTTCCCAAAAGTGAAACTGGGTATTTTAGAGAAATTTTGTGCCGCATTGCCACCACTGGGTCAATTCGAGGTCTCTCTTTACAGAGTTTATAGGCTATATCTTTAGAAGAACACACGAGGCATCAAAAGATATCCCGCTGAGTCTATAATTCGGTGGACTGACCACGATATGGCCAGGTAGTATGCCTCTGAGATACCAATAAACGAGCATTTAGCGATTAAACATGGGAAATAGAATACACTGTAACAAGGTGATTGTGGGGTCTATAGGTCATTATGGCCCTGTTTGGACAGGAAAAAAAACGCAAGACCTTTTGAAGCTGAACAGATCTGCCTTAAAATTTTTTACCGGTATCGTCCCAAGGCGCTGTGCTTTTTCTTCGATGCTCCGCAGTTAGTGAGTACCAAAGACTCTTCTCTCTACAGAAGCTATCGCGGTGGGAATGGCGATGCCTACTTTATTTCTCGATGTCCGGGCCTGCAGTTTAGGCGACTCAAACATCTGAGGTCACGATTTTTCTCTGGGGGTCTACTCTGTATTGCGATTCGAAAAGCAAATCATTCGGATTCGAATACTTGGCGCTACGAATTTGTATTAATTCGTGTCGGCTTTCGAATCGCAATAAAGAGTAGACCCCCTGGTCTAGCAGAAATAACGGAGGTGAAAATCTTGCACCTCCTCAATGTGATTTGGTATAGCAGGTGGTTGAAAATTCTATATTTTTTTCTTTGTAAAACAAAATCTCCGGTTAGGGGAATATGTCTCCTGCTGGTATCCACTCACACAGGACACTCGCAATCAATAACTAAGCAGTACGCCGCCGAGTGAAGGTATCGAACTATCTATACACGCCTGCCTAACCAAACCTTAACTCAAGGAGTACTCAGTTTAGTTCCTCTTCGTGTTTTTACTCACAAAACAAACTCAACCTCCAATTTTAATGTTATAGGGGTATTCTCCAAATCTTGCAAAGCCATTGCACGTAGCACGGATTGCATGGATTGCATAACTTGCAAACACACAACAACAAAATACATGGGAAACGACATTTCCTATCGCTGCAAAATATGCAACGTCGAAACCCATGTATATATTTTGCAAAATAGCATAGCAAGATATATGCGACCCTGTGCTAATTGTTTTGTTGTTGGAATTGCTACATATTTCTCTCATTCCTCTCATCTCGCTCACTTCATTTTTTTCTGCTGTCTCTTGTTATTGTATTTGATACATAATTTCGCTGCTTGCTACCCATGCATTCTACCACTTTGCAATGGGGTGCTCTCGTACTATTCGAAATTTGGGATAGTATTTTTGCATTTCGTGCAATACGTGCATCGTGCAATACTTCGAGAATACCCCTTATGTTTTACGTACATCGAACCCGGACTACTAAAAGCTTAAACCTCTTTTTTCCTTCATGTCATTGTGATAAATATGCATATTTTTTTTTACTTATCATTATACATTCTGTATCTAATCAAATTTTAAGTAGGTTTAAATGTTCTCAACCCTCCTAGCTACCCCGTGGTCCTACACACATTTCCATGCAAACATGGCGCTAGCAATCATTCGAAAACAATCAGTATGTACATTTATAAGCCACCTATTAGTTTGGAGCAATAACATTAAAATAGCAAAGCACATTGGCATTTGGTACGCCGCAACTGGTCGTTTTGACAACAATGCGCTTAGTCCAAAAAAATCTTTTGTAAACAATGCATCGTCAGCCACAACACAATGTCAATGCACTAGATGTGCAGGCAGGAGTCCGTCAAAAAATATGCGAAAACATGCATGTGCATGTACATTAGAGTGGTGCAAAAATGCTTGTGAAAAAGTTAAGTCGGAGTTTTAATGCCCAAAGCGCTCAAAGTTTTCAATGTATTTTATATGGGGAAAAAACAACTTTTCGTAGAAATAGTGTAGAATTCTTGAAAATCAATATTTTTCGATCGGAAAACTCTGCTTCTATTCCGGAAATTCCCAGTAATAATACCCAATTGTTCCTTTGACCATTTTTTCATGGTAACTTTATTTTATAGGTCCGCCAAAACCACCAGAAAATGCAATGGGAGAACCATTAAAAAATCTTTAGTATTAAAAAATTGTTAAATAAACAATTGGGTAATAATACTGGAATTCTTCTGAAGAGAACCAAAAATATTTATTTTCAAGAATTTTATACCATTTCTACGAAAAATTGTTTTTTCCCCCATATAAAATACGTGGAAAACTTTGGACGCTTTGAGCAATTGTTAAACATTTTTTGATTTCAAATAAAATTCCGACTTTACTATTTTTGGACCACTCTAATGTACATATGTGCGTATGTATGTAAACACTTGTATCCAGCAAAGCAGAAGCAGAAATTTTAGACCCAAACCGATTGAATGTACATATTTTCGTAAACGCTGAAAATATTTAGTATCCAATTACTTACGTGGCAATGACATTTTGAATTTTTTGTAAACAGTGTTTATATGTCAATGGTTCTCTGCAATAACGACACAATTCCAAACTTAAAATATAGAATCCCTTACTACTTTTAAGTGGCTAACATCTATAATCCTCGTCTAATCCAGGTCTAGTCCTTACTACTTAGTGTAGGATTGCTACTTTACTTACTTTGGTAAACCTTACTGTAGTATAGATTAGACAAGGACATTAGCCACTAAACAGTAGTAAAAGTTTTTATTTTTTGAATTTTGAATTTGGTTCTCATTGCGGAGGACATTGTGATAGCGAGCTATGCTCAATTGGTTCCACGAAAGCAGAGCGAGCCTGTTCATGCTTCCTCGCCTCGTGGAGCTGCCGTCGAGCATAACATCGCGGAGTGGGAAAGCGATTTAGTCGCCGCTACTGTTCTTCTCTCGATGTGGATCTTCAGCCCGTCCCACAGCCTCGAAATTACATAGCTTTCGTTGTATTTTTACAACGGCATCACATGGTTTCGAAGTTTATCATCGCATCTGCTATTCAGCTTCAGATTTTCTCCTGCCATTATTTATAGCCTACTCTTCTCAATTTTCAAATCGTGGACGTTGGAACAACGCATGCTTTGGGTCCTCTTGGACGTCATATACTGGACATGTATTGATGTCGTCAAGACCAAGTCGGTGCAGGTAATTTCTATAGCCGCAATATCAGCTCTGGAATTGCGTTAAATGGAATCTACTGCGCCATGCTTTCGTGGTGACTTTGTATTCAAGGTGTACGTCCATCTTCCCTTCGTTGATGCATCCCAGCGTTCCTGCCAAATCAGTATGGATGCTGTTTTTTGACCTCCATTATTTGGTTGTTGCCCATATCCCCTTCGCTTCAGCCGCGAAAATGTACTTCTTGGACCGCCGACTTGATTTTATTGCCGCGTTGGCAACGATGAATTCCGCAGGCTCTGGTTTCTTTCGTTTACTCACTAAAATCGCTTCGGTTTTTCGATAGAAGCATTTTCTTTCCTTTCTACGTGCTGTAGATATTTTCAAATCACAGTAAGGGCCAGGACATCCGCAAAGCCTACAAGCTTTGCTTCTACATGGAGAGAGATGCCCGAAAACTCCGTTGTAGATAACGTTTCACGGCGTCAGGCCTAGAACAGAGCCTTGTGGCACACGCGCGGTAATTAACAATTGCTTTTCATAAATTTGGGGCGGACCCGAAGCAATGTTATCTCCAAACTCTTGGTTGATTCGCACTACTCTAATTCGTCGCCTTGTATGTAGGTTCTTTAGAAACCAAATTTTCTGTCTATTAGAAAAATTTTGGTTTTTCGACAAATAAATTATTCAGTAGAAATAGTATGTATGACAAGAAAGATGTCACCAACGCACTTAAGCAAATCTCAATTATGAAAAGAACTCATCCAAATGACCTGCGGCACCAGCCGGTTCAAGAAATTGTCTACCTTGAAATGTAAACTAAACAATAGCTCTTATTACTAGGCCTACACCATTGAATTCAGAGCAGAGCAAAGTGTGTCCACCACATCAATCTTTCATGCATCACCAGAGTCGTTGCACTGAAAAGCATCCAAGGATTTCGCCAAACAATACACAACAATTGATGTTACCTGTGTCCATTCCACAGATTTTAATATAAATATAAAATCATTGTTTTTATTGGCATCCATAGGCGCGTGCATTCGAGATATGTATGTATGTATGTACACACATATGCATGTGTGTATGTATGCGATTGTGTTTGCATATCAATTTCCATAAAGGTGAATGACAAATTCCTAGAATTTTGATTACCATTCAACATTCATATAGAATGGTTTGCTTGTATGTTATGGCCGCCATATTGTTTTTGTTCTTTCACCTGCAATATTGCTTCAATTTCAAATGGAAATTTAATAAATAATTGAATGG